GAAACACTGATTAACAGTACATTTTTATTCCAATTTCGTACTGCCAGTGACATATATGTATAACCCACATTAAAATAAACTGTCATTTGAATAAGAGACATATAGTGAGACAACTCTCTACATACTTATATGGAAAATATAAACATTAAGCATATTTAAGATTCAAAGAAGTGTATTGTACTCTACTGCTGTACCTTGAGCCCCATGGGTCCTGTGCCACCCTTGAGACCTGGCAAACCTGGGGCTCCATTTGTACCTGGCCTTCCTGGAATGCCAGGAGAGCCCTTTTGTCCGGGTGCCCCATCCAGACCGGGGTCTCCCTTTAGGCCAGCTGGCCCTGGGAAGCCATCCATGCCTCTGAAACCCATGTCTCCTTTGTCTCCTGGCAAGCCATCCATTCCGGGCTGACCAGGGATCCCTTTAAAATTGGAAAAAAATTTTAAAGGTGTTTTTCAATCACTTTCTGTTTCAGGGTGCTGGGGTTTTAACGGTAATGTAACTTGATGAACCACATTCAGTAATTTTCTTTTAGACTTTGGCCAAATACATTTTTTGTTTTGAAAAAGAAACAAAAAATTGTTCCACCAGAAAAATTAAAATCTGTTTCATCAGAGGATGGAAGGATAAAATAAAATAAGTTTTCCTTAGAGACAATAACTATGACCTTTATGAGGATCATGAGGAGAGAAACAAGTATTCAGTAAATGCAATAAAATATTGGAAAGTATAACTTTTTCATCATATGAAATAAGCTACAGAAATCTGCCAATCCATGACTTTCTAAATTCCCTTGTACATATTCTGAGCAATTTGAAATCTATGCATGTAATTCTTTGTCAGATTATTTCTTCTTTGGAGTGCAATGTTTTGAATAACTCAAATTACCAGGATTTACCCAAACATAAAGTGTTTGGAATGTGTCAGAGAATCTGTGAACAGTACTTGTAGAATTGAAAGCCGGCTCTTTTTGCAAATTTTATTTGCAACCCTTTTAAATTTGTTCTTGTTCCAAGAAAAAATCCAACAAAGAACACAATGCCTTGCTTGTCAAAGAAAAACATAAAAGGGGATAGATTTTTTTATTTCGAGACACACGAAAAAAAAAGAGTCAAGTCTCCCGTATAATGAAGTACTGTACCAGGTTTTCCAGGGATCCCAGGATAACCCTTGGGCCCAGTGAGTCCAGACAGTCCGGGTTCTCCCTTGTCCCCGGGCAGCCCCTCCAGTCCCGGGGGTCCCGTGTCCCCTGGTGGGCCCACAGCCCCCTTTGGCCCCTCCAGACCCCTGAGTCCAGCTGGGCCCTGAATACCAAGTGGGCCCAGTGGGCCAGGGTTGCCTCGGTCTCCCTTCGGGCCACTCAGGCCATCCAGTCCAGCATCTCCCTTGGTGCCCTTCTCACCAGGCAACCCCGTGAGTCCAGGGATCCCGGCTTGTCCAGGTTTCCCGGGAAAGCCCGGGATCCCTTTCTCTCCTGCGTTGCCCTTGGGGCCCATCGGGCCAGGAAGGCCAACTCCCGGGATCCCCGCATCTCCCTTCATTCCTTGGACGAAGACCCGGCTTGTCCAGGTTTCCCGGGAAAGCCCGGGATCCCTTTCTCTCCTGCGTTGCCCTTGGGGCCCATCGGGCCAGGAAGGCCAACTCCCGGGATCCCCGCATCTCCCTTCATTCCTTGGACGAAGTGCAACAACAGACAACAACAAAAACAAGTTGTTTCCAATTTTATTACAGCACTTTGACGCATGAGGGGTCAAACAAAAGATCTCGGAATATAATTCAGGTGCAAAAAAAAAAAACAATTATTTCTCAGAAAAAGAAATCAGTCCTATTGGCACATGAAGGAAAAAGTCAGCCAAGCTGCCTCGGATCCGTGTCTTCCGAATTCATTCCGCCATTTTCATCAACAGCATCTCAATCAAGTGGCGGTTGTTGATGAAAAATGGCGGCATCAATAATCTCGAGCAATGGCGACCGACTTTGCGATGAATGCCTTGTTAATTTTAAAAAAATGCTGGAGGGCAAGAAATTTCCAACAGATGTGAATATTTTCTCGTGCCGAAGAATGTTTAATCTGAACAAGAACTGTCATTTTTTTTGCTCAATTGTGTGCCGTTTAAATTTATTTTCCGAAAATATCTTCTAGGTCCTTTGTATATATTTATCCAGACCTCGTTTCATTTTTTTAAATTGTGATTAGCAATCTGACCTTTCAGTCCTGATAATCCCGGGGTTCCTGGCCTTCCTGCTTCCCCGGGGTCACCAGGGAAACCCATTGGACCCGTCATGCCCTTTTCTCCTCTGTCACCTGCACGTTATTTGAAAATGTTGTCAAGAAAATTTGTAAAAATCGTTTAATTTGAATACAACAAGACCTGCTAGTCCTCGTCTGCCTGGTGGGCCAGGAAGTCCTGGCTCTCCTCTGCCACCTGGAGATCCCTTTTTTCAATTTTTGCAGCAGAATAAAAAAAATAAAAAAATGCATCATCAATTGAGGGAGTTGGGGGCAAGCGGTTTTTTTTTGTGGTTGTTGTTGAAACTCACAGGAAGGCCACGTAGGCCAGCATCCCCCTTGTAGCCCTTCGGACCTTCTGGCCCAATCGGGCCTTCTGCTCCTTTCTCGCCCTTCTTTCCCTTGATGTCCGTCAGCTGTTGAGGAAGTAGGTCCAACTTGGCTGCAAATGATTCAATATTTTTTTGTTGTTGTTACGAATAATGGAGTACACATTTTGGAAACAAAAAAAATTGTAGAAAAGAAATATGCTAATTCTTTTTTTTCTTTTTTCGTTACCGGGTTCTCCCTTTTGTCCCTTGGGGCCAGAGTACCCGTCGTCACCCACTGGCCCGTCTCTGCCTCTGTCGCCCTTGTCACCAGGGATGTTGATGCCTGGGTCTCCAGGCCTGCCCGCCAACCCTGGCCCACCTGTCAAACCCGTTTCTCCAGGGATCCCTCTGTGGCCCTGTGGGTGTTGCATTCGTGAAACAACCATGTCTTTTTTTTAATTCTACTGACAGTATCAAAAATGAAAGACTCAAAAACTATCGTATATATGCAAGGGTCTGATGAATGAGGGAGAGAATATCCAGGGACTTTATGCTGCTGATGTTGACAAATTTTCAAAATTTTAAATGTTGATTTCAAGATTTGATCCTTGGGTGTGCGATTTTAAATTTTATATTGCATTTACCTGATCTACGCATAGAACATATACTTTAGAGATTATTCTAAATAAGCTGTCCTTTCAAAGATAGGTGTTATTTTGAAATAAAATTTTGCATAATTGAGAATTTCCAGATTTAATCATTGTAGATGAAAATAAAGAAAAAAAAGAAACAATAAGTATGAGAGGTGCTGTATGCTTGTAAACGCACTTTGTCTCCTTTGAGACCCAGCAGCCCGGGTCTGCCGGGGAGACCCGTGAGGCCGGGTTGGCCAGGTGGCCCAGTGGGGCCCGGAGGCCCATCTGTGCCTTTGTCTCCTTTGTCACCTGGAGGGCCACGCAGTCCAGGTGGGGCCAAAGTGGGTTCACCCTTGACACCCTTGTCTCCCTTCACACCCGACAACCCCGCTGCACCCTAACGAAAAAGATAATAATTCAAACATCATCATTCAGATTAATCACATATATACAATGGATACATTCCTGCATTTCTGAAAAATTTCTTATTAAATCGATTTCCTTATTTCCCCAAAATTATGGCTACGGATAAGCATAATATTTAAAGTGGATTTTATTTTGCTCTTTCATTTTTGTTGGGAATTTTTAGCGCTTTTGAAATATTAAATAGTTTTTTCTGTGACTATATAGCCAAAAAGTAGAACCAACAGAAGATCAGATGGCTACAGAATTAGCATTTAAAATTTTAGAAAATAATGATCTAATTTGAGTCAGATCAGATGAACAAATACAACTAATTTATATACATTTCAATTTGTCTGAAAAATTAATTGCGCGACGACTCTTTTCAAATTGTTGACAAAATTTTCTGATGCAAAAAGCCTGAAGAAATACTGAATTTTAAGCACTCTTCTTTTTCTTTTCTTTTTTTTGAAAATGATGAAGAAAATAACTTGGATAGTAGGCTTTTTTTGGTGGGATGGGTGATGGTTGCAATAAATCGAGTCCATTAACCGAGACACCTCATCCCACTTGTGTACACTGAAGTACAGTAGAGTAACGTACAGCACAGTACGTATAATAAAGTGCACAGTACCTCTTTGCCTGGCCTGCCCGGGGGCCCATTGGGGCCGTAATCCCCGGGGATCCCGTTGGCCCCGGCTTCTCCCTTTTCGCCTCGTGGCCCCTGTGGGCCAGACAGCCCGTCCAATCCTCGTTCGCCCTTCTGGCCGGGCAAACCCGGTCTGCAGGACCTGCAGTAGCCTTGGTCTCCCTTGATGCCGGCCAATCCCGGAAGTCCGGGTCTGCCAGCCACGCCCGGGAACCCGCGTTCCCCGGATGGGCCAGGAGGACCCGGTGGGCCAGGTATCCCGTCCGTCGAGTTTCCAGGTGGGCCACGCACTCCCTTCTCGCCCTTCTCGCCCGGGGTTCCATCTTTGCCGTCTCTGCCGGGGTACCCGTCTGCACCCGGGGATCCCTTTTGTTTTGTTTTTGTTTTTGGACAAATACAAACGACGAGAAATGTATATACTGTATTATATTGAGTCAACGAATTTATTTGTGCGAATATCTTTTTTTTTCATGAAAGTGCAAAAATGAGATGACACGACTATTGACTATTTCCATGTGTGGCAAAATCAGTGTGGGAAAATTCGAAAAAGAAATAAGCAAAGACCCAAATAATATCTGTCTTCACATTTTATATATGTGTAAAATAATTCAATTTTTAAGGTTTGTTTTAAAATGTGGGTTAGCTCGCGGAAATGACTTTGAAGCTGAGGCTCCTTTTGAAGTTTTTACTCACTGGAATTGAGTTTCCATCGTCTCCCTTGGGCCCCATTGGGCCAGGTGGCCCGGTGTCTCCAGGAAATCCCCTCGGGCCAGGAGACCCAATGTAACCTTATTGTTTTGAGGAGAAGAAAATAACCCATTTGAAAATTGAATAACTGCCAAATGTCCGCGTGATATTTTTTTTTTTAATCTCTGAGCTTCCAATAAGATGATAACATAATGTATTAGAACATGTAAATTGAAGTGATTACACCATTAATTGGGCAGCAATGAATTCTGAAACCTTGTAACAATGCAGATGTTCTCTTGCATGATGAATATGCTTTGCTTGATTGTGGGTAGATGACGCTGACAGACATGCTAAGGAATCAATTAATTCAATCAACGCGGAGTCCTTCAAAGTTTCACCTGTATATACTGTACTTCCGGGTTCAATGGAAAAGTTTATTGAATTTTATTTTCACACCATTTACATTACAAAAATATTGTGATGGAGACCACTTCTGAAATTTCATCAGCTTCTAGCAATATAGGTTTTTAAAACTTGGACAGACATTTTCCTATGTTCACAAAAACTGTTGGAAAACCATTAATTTGTCAATTGTTACAATAATAGGTTATTTGAATATGCATACGTTACATGAATATAAAACAGTCACCTTGAGGCCCAAGTTCGCCCTTGAGTCCTTTTTCGCCGGGCTCCCCGTCCCTGCCAGGCACGCCCATCAATCCTGGGCCACCCGGTGGGCCAGGAAGGCCACGGTCCCCAACTGTCCCTGGCCGGCCATCCAACCCCTTTGGTCCGGGCACCCCTGGGTATCCACGTGGTCCCTGGGGTCCTGGTGGACCCGGTCCTCCAGGGCCTCCCTAGGTAATTTATATATAAAAAAAAAAAGAATCGCAAGGATTTCTTATTTATGAAAAAAACATATGTATAGATATATAAGCGTATAGATTTTTTACCCCAGGTGGCCCACGTGGCCCTGGTAAACCCGGTGCCCCCGGGATCCCTCCGAGTCCACCGTCGCCCTTCACACCCTGTGGCCCAGGCAGGCCATCAATCCCGTCATTGCCTCGGTCTCCTTTGAATCCTGGTGGCCCAATTGGCCCGGGCCAACCGTCTTTTCCCTAACGATGGAGTAATAATTCAGAGTGTAAATTTACATAAACACGTGTTTATATATGTATAATATATACGCACCCTGAGGCCCGGAGGTCCAGGCAACCCCTTCTCACCCTTCATGCCAAAGTCGCCGGGTTTCCCTGGGATCCCTGAGACCCCTGCGAAGCCCTTGGGTCCTGCAGGTCCCCTTTCACCCTTTACAAAAAGCTCGCATCAAAACCCTCAAACTCTTCAAAAACTGAATAAAATGAATGAATGTTTCTCTCTTTAAAAAAAAGGAAAAAAGGATAGAGATTGTGAGAGAGTTTTGCATGGCATGCAAAGAAGAACCTTGTCTCCCTTGTCGCCGGCTTGTCCAAGTGGCCCAACAACTATGCCCTTGTTCTCAACGAATTCCAGGGGGCACTGGGGGCCCGGGGGTCCTTGACTCCCCTTCTCTCCTTTTTTGCCTTCATACCCAACCCCCATGGCCCCTTTCTCGCCTTTCACTCCTGTCAGTCCTGGGTAACCCTATACATCCATTCATACATCCATCCCAGAATATGGAAGAAACAATAAAAACAAAACAAAACAATGCAGTATTATATAGGCTCAGATTCAGGACAACCTTGAACATACAGTATATACTGATGGAAATTATTTTTTCAAGCATTTTACCTACTTTACAGTTGAATATTACAGGTGGTACCATAAAATTTGACCATGCTGCAATTTTTACATCCTGAAATTTGGGGGTCAAATTTGCTGGAAGGCCAACTTGAACTTTGACCTCTGCTGCCACACAATTCAACCCACATAGAAATGTAAAATGTCGAATGAAATGTAGAAAACATTGCATTTCATGTTAGTCAAAGAGTCAAATTGGAGTAAAAAATTAGAGACATTAGAGTCAAATTGCATTGCACCGCCTGTATTAGAGCAATATGATAAACAGTTTATTAATTAAGGTTATGCAGTTTTTGACAAAATTTATCTAAATTTTTGTGATCCAATGAACTTTTTTATACAACATGAATTATTACTATAAGCAATGTACTGTATGATCATATCCTGCAATAAACAGACAAACAATAAAAGCTTGGTATACATCAAAATTCAAGGTGTCAGCTTGATTTTGGTTGTGGGGTGAATATTTGCACCCAAAAAAAATTTCAAAGAAATGTTTTTTTTCAGTCATCACTTTGTGAAGATAAAACAAAATTATTCATAATATGCACCCCTTGTGCAATGAGTCTTTTTTTAATAAAAAAAAATTCAACGACTTATTTTTTGGAGATTCTGTAGTATAATGCAGGGAATGCAATTTTGCTGGCTGCTGAAGCTGTTTGTGAGGCAAAAAGAAAAAAAATATTAGAGTCACATGCAATTAGTGGGATCCATTCATCATCACATGCCATGCAAAACCAGTGATTGAGATAAAGGATACTATATAGTGAAAATAAAGAGATTAGGATGAGTGCCTTCTCTCCCTTGTGTCCAGGGGATCCTTGGGGTCCAATGAAGACCAGCTGGTCATCCCCTGCTCCAAGCAGCTCTAAAGTGCAATTGGCAGCCACGCCTGGCAACCCTGGCAAACCTTGTGCCCCCTTTTCCCCCTTTGCCCCTTCTTGCCCCACACCCATGGGGCCTCTTTCCCCTCTTCTACCTTCTGGTCCAGCATGCCCCTGTTTTATTGGAAGCAATCTGTCAACATCATGCGGTTTCATGCAAAGCAATAAATAACCAAACCATTCTCTATATTGGCAACCAATCAGGAAACTGAAATTAGATACTTTTTGACAGATTAGTTGACATGCCATAAAAATATTGGTTAATTTGGCCAATGCCCATGCTCATGCAGCAGCTCAGCTCATCTATTTACATTTTGTGGCCAAATTTACCATATTTACTTGCACATCACCTTCCCCTTCATGCATTATATGTTTGCAACATTGTGCCTCAGTTAGCTGAAATTGCTTCCCAAAAGTTTCTTTTAAAACTTACAATAGTTCCATATAGATTTTTAAGATTTCTCACATGCAAGTCAATATACAATACTAAATATATAAAGTAACTGCACAGATAAATGTCTGAAAATACTGACATTGAGGGTGTAAGCATCAAGCAGGGATATGTGGTATAAATAAGTAAACATAACACAGGTGGTACCTGACAATTTGACCTCCCACAAGTTTATGGTCAAATATGCTGGGAGGTTGACTTCCTATTCAACCTCTGCCTTGCAATTTGACCCTTTGGCAAAGGATTATGGCTGAGTTGCTGGCTACCACCTGTATCATATTTTTCCAAATTCTGGATTGAAGCTTATATACTGTACTTTTTCAAACATCAAAACATTTAATTCAAATTCTTTGGTATTAAATACAGTTGTTGAAAAACCATTCTTACCTTAGGGCCAAAAGTGCCAATGTCACCTTTGCCCCCTTGTTGCCCTGGGGGACCTGGGCCACCAGGGGCACCTTGGGACCCATCCCTGCCAGGCTCACCCTTCTGGCCCTTGTCCCCACCTCCACAGTATGCAGGTTCTCCTTTTAGGCCTTTGAAGCCAGGGGGACCAGGGAACCCTGGTAAACCCGGGTTGCCAACTGTCCCAGAAAACCCAGGCAGTCCCTAAATAGAATCAATATTTTTGATTTATATTTTATAGACAGGCGCCTTTAAAAGGATATGTTTACAATTTTTCAGTTGAATTTTATAAATTTTTAGATTGTTGAATAAATTTTCAGTATGCGATTCTGGAAACTACCTCCCAATTATAGGAGGATAACTTACATCAGTTCCATTGCAACCATCCATTCCAGGGAACCCAATGGGTCCTGGGGGTCCTTGATAACCCGGTATGCCAGGGGTTCCAGGGTATCCTGGCATCCCCATTTTCCCCTTTACTCAAAGAAAAAAATAAACCAAAGAATTCAAGTTTTTTTCCATAATCATCACGTTTTCTGTTGATATCTGTAGCCTCTCACTCTATCTCCTTTGTCTCCTCTTGATCCCTGTGGTCCAGGTTCACCCTTGGAACCTTTGGGGCCCAGGATTCCTTCTGGTCCTGGAAATCCTTGGTTGCCTTTTTGTCCAGTAATGCCTGGGGGTCCAGGGAAACCCTGAAATGTATTGACATGGGGTTCCTCAGAACAAAACTTGAGGCAAAAAGTAATCCCTACTTTTAACTTATAAAAAAGAGTAAAAAGACCTAATTCTCTACCTTTCTTTAATCACCGTTGGGGGTTTTATACTTAATAAGGAAAAGTTTGAGAACACTATGTAGTTCCTTTTAGATAGTTAAGTTACAAAGTATTTGTTAGAATACTATAGGGCATTCATGAAAAACTGGATCAGGTTTTTTTACCCCAAAAAGGCAAAATCTCTCTTGTTTCTTCCAATGGGTGAAAATTTCAGTTATTTGGTAAAAAAAAAAAAATTGCTTCATCCATCTTTCCATTCACACAAATATACAGAAATATCTGCGCTTAATAATCGAAAAAAATTTACATTTTCAAGGGTGTCTAAGTGGCGTAATTTCTGCACTATAAATATTGTACATTGGTTGATGCATTGCCAGAGCACCTCCTTTTGTTATACCCAGCTGTCCACAGCTACAAAAATGAGCTTCAAAGAGACAAAAAATGAGCTTCTGGAATATCTTGAAATTCATGGAAAAGACTCTTTCAAAATCTTAGAGGACAAAGATAAACAGTCAGCTTTATGCAATTTCTCCTTGAAGATTTTCTCCAAATTGTTATTTATTGTTAATATTAATTGTTATTATCAACCAAAACTTATTTGGAAGCAGCGCAGACTGACCACCATGTTTTTTATTTAATTTGTGTTCAGTAATTGACTTATGCAGTAAAAATCCACCTTTTGTTGGTTTAAAATTAGTGGTAAAAAGTAAAGATTTCAAATTTTTTAATGATTGAATTTGCAAAACAGCTTTTCACACAATAATGGACTAATAGTCTGTTACACAAATTAAGTCTGTTGTGCAGAGGTTGATGACTGTACAGCATTTTTTTTTTTAGAAATAAAGACTCCTTAAAAATGTGCATACTTTATTGCCATTTGAAACTTTTAAAAGTATTTCCCGCTGGCTTGATTTTCACATCTCTTCATATAGCATGTTTCCTACCCAAAAGACCCATTTCCAATATTCTTAAAATAAATTATTGTTGAATGTTTTTGCGATTTTACAGTTCACAAATTAGTGCTGGGTCCCTGATGATGAGCAGCAGCAATACAGGAATACCTCCAGCACACTACATTTACAACAGTAGTTGCCATCAATATGAGCAGCTTCAGCCAGCAGAAAACAACCTATTTTTGCGCAGAAAAAAATCTCTCTCAGCTGGATTCCCGCAGAAAGCATTTTTCCTTTCCGCCCAATTTGCGCTTCCTGTTGCGCAGAACAGACGAAGGGGAAGAAGAAGAAGAAGAAGAAAAGAAAAAAACGGATTCTTTTTTTTCCCTCCCCACGTGCCAAAAGGGCGGGTACAAGTGCCAATTTTCCTACTCCTCCTCACCCGGGATCCCTTGGTGCCAACACAACGGCATCCATCAACTATATGAGGACCACGACGTATAGTGTACAGTGAACTATTCAAGAATTTGCATAATCTTCATTTTTCAATCCTTTTCATTCCATTCACGTGGGTCTTCTCTCGATCGTGTCAGGATAAAAAAATTTCACGAAGTTAGGCAAAATTTCAACATCAACTACAAAATACCGGAATTTTGCAATGCGGGGTGATGGAAACGAATATTACGATACAAGAAAATAAATTTACAGGCATTTTTTTAAATTCACAAATTTGATTTAATGAATTATCTAAAAGTGACAGAATTAATTCAAGAAGAATTTCAGAAACACAGTCTCGCTCTTTCTCTCAAAAGAAATAAATTTGATGACTTTTTTATAATCAAGCCCTTAAAATATTTAAACAAAATTAAAATATATATTTGCTGGATTTGTCATATTTTTCAAAATCTTTTTTAATTGTCATTCATACTAAATTTGGAAACAAACTGAACCTTTTTTCTGTTTTCAAGTTCAACTTTTTTTACATGGGGTTTTTTAAATGGCACACAATAATAGAAAAAACCTTTTGAAATCAACTTTTAAATTTTTTATTAATGAAAAAAGAATCTTAAATTTTCAGGACTTGTTTTGAATAAGCACAGTAGTATACCGACATATATCATAACGAATTTCAGTGAAAATTCAGTAAATAAATCTGCTCAACACCTATTGAAAAAAAATACTTGTACAGTACTGTACTGTATTTTTTTAAAGCAATATTTGCTGAAAATATTTAGGCGCAAACAATTATAAAAATATTAAACTGTTCTTTTTATTGAACCGAGTAACCTCCATTTTTCTCTTTTTATGGAGTTAATAATAACTAAAAGGGAGTATATGTCATAATAACAGCGTGTAGACTGGACCAGCAGCTGACGTGTGTAGTAACCCGTTGCAGCAGCACCAGCAGATGATGACCTGCTGCTGCTGGCGCCATCTCTGTCACGCACACTCAATTGCCATTGGGATGTTCTTTGACCCAGTGCTGGTGGGTCCGTAGACAAACCGAAGTCCCCAAGGCCATCCTGTGGGCGGAAGTAACGGCGTGAGAAAATGTCTCTTCCGTTTAAAATAAACAACTCACTCGCATATACAACACATCATGCCACGAAAAAAAAATATATATATGGGTGCTGATCTCATTTGTTTTTCGCATCAACTCATCGTCGAGGCGACGTGCGCATGCATGCATTTATTTGGCATTATTTGCCATTTTATTTATTTGCCTTTGCGATTCTTCATCTTGGTCTTGTTGGAACGAAGGAATTCCAAAAAAGTAAGGCAAGAATTTAAGAAAGTGTGTCAAAACCACGTATACTGTGCTGGTGCCATTAGACAGGAGTGACAATACAAAATAATATTTTTGCGCTTATCTTCAAAAAAAAAATATTTTTCAATTATTTAAATGTTTCCGATTGAAAGTTGTATTTGGTGATACGATCACATTTCAGATTAAGATATAACGGAATATTTAACGCACGCTTTTCATATTTACCCTAACATTATTTCCACAGGTGAAATGATTCAATTTTTCGGAGGATTTTACTTTTTTCGAATATCCATAAAAAACATCGAAAATATGCAATCTTAATTATTCTGCAAATATTATTTTGAAAATTCATGCGTTCGTTGATTTCCGAATTCATTCAGCCTATATTGTCAGAGGCAGTGATTGTATTTATGAAATTAATTTACCTTCCATCTCCTAAGTCTATATAATTTGAATAATGACTGAATCAAATAAATGCGCAGAAATTATAAATACGCGGAAAAATATAATAGGTGAGCGATTGTTGACGCACAAAACTGACAACAAACTTACGATCAGTGGAAGAATCAATCGAAATTGAGTCATTTGATTTTATTTACCAAAATATCATGGAATTTAAAGTACAAGGTTTTTATGATAATCATAAACGATCATTTTTCCCCCTGTTTAAAAGTCGTGATTGAGCAAAGAAAATTTCCATGAGGCATTTGAAGATCGTTTCCTGATGTGCCAATTATCTTGAAAACTTCAGCTGAAATTAAATTGCAGTGTGTTGAAATTACCTTTCAACGTACCTCAACAGTTTTAGGTTCTCTGTGAGTAAGATCGATCATTTGAAATACAGTAATAGGGATAATTCTATTGTGACATTTTATGATGATATGATAGATTAATTTGGAAATTGTATTCCATCGCAACGTTACAAATGTCTTATTTTACAGGGACACGAAATATATAAAGTCTTTCTTGAAATATCAATTGGAGTGCAATAAATTTTTGAAATTAAAGAAAATCATCATCACATTTAATGCTGAATTTTTTTTCAACCAGCCAGGAATTTATCACCAAAAAAAAAATATGTCATTCATTAGAATCCTGTCACAACTTATGACATTGCAGCAAATTATTGGCTAAAAAAGAGTCATTTTTACTCCCATGAATGCCCAACCACAGGAAAAACTTTCGAATCAGCTTATAACAAATACAGTAAAAGCTAGTTTATACCAATCCAAAAATTTTTTCAGTACAACAAACTTTTTCCAAGTACTGGCAGAAATCCTTACTTTAGGGTATTGGTTATAAAAATCTCATTACAACAAACTTGCCAATTTGAGTACAGTACAACAAACTTTTTTGAGGAACATGTTGTGATTCCTTAATGAAAAATCCCCAATGAAGGCAGGCACAGTCTCAAATTTCCCAGTCAAAATGTGACTGGTTCTTCAAACAAAAGGACAATAATTCTTCAAAATTCACCTGAACATCTTCTCTTTCAACTTTTTTCCTGGGTTGGAAAAGGGGATGAGGGAGGAGTTGAAAAATATGAAACTGGCAAAACTCATGGTAAAAGGGGTTTGCATGCTTGAGAACCCCAAGTGATGCTTAAAAATTGTAGACATATTTGGAACATCCAACCTTATAAATCAGTGCAGATATTTCTTAAAAAACTGACTCAACAAAAACTGCTAGTATTTTAGCTGTTATTCAGAGTAAATGTTTATTAACATTTGAATTTATTTTTAGAGATCACAGCTTTTTGGACACTGAAGGAAGACATCTATAAAAAGGGAACAGGAGGAAGATATGGAATAAATGCAGGCTTAATTTTCAAAAGGTCCTCCCATCAGTCAAAAATTTTTAAAATCTTATTATAACAAATTATTCATCATAAAAAACTTTTTCTCAAGTCCTAACAAGTTTCTCACAATGAGATATTACTGTATTTTGCTGTAACAAAGCTGTTTTCCCAGTCCCAACAGCTTCATTGCAACAAGATTTTATTGTATGCAGTTGGTCCGTACATAAGAAACAAATTTTACTCCTTTTGCTTCAGGGATTCAAAATTTTCAAGATGAACTACACTAGAAAAACAATAACCAGAAAAGGGGGCTTTCAAGAAGCGAAGGCTGGTGCGTGTATTAAAGTGAGGAGGAATGAGGGGCAATACTTTATTTTTCTTTAGTTTTAAAAATAAAAGTGAGAAGAAGTAAAAGGAAAAGGAAAAGTTATCGCCCGAGAAACGTGTTGTTCCATCCCCCCCACCATCTCCCAGATTTTCAGGTTGTGAATGTTTCCTCACGCACATCCCTAACTTGGAGGAAGAAGAAGAAGAAGAAAAAGCGGAAGAAAGAAGAGCCTTTTCTTCTGGTCTTGTGCATCAGGCAAGAAGAAGAAGAAGCAGCAGCAGCAGCAGCAGGAAATGGAGGAGAATCGGGAACAACAAGCCTACGTAACCCGAACCCGTGAGCAAGGTGTCAAATAATCCCTCCTCTTTTCCTCAACACGTCCTTCACCAGGCGGCTGCCACTCTGGCTGCCTTCCTCGTTTTCTAACCACTCCATCTTTCCCTCTTTTATACCTGAAATAATTACCCCCATGATGCAATACTCCGGATTATGAACTCTGTGAAGTGCAAGTTTATTTTGCACAATACACTTGGTTTGCCAGCAATTATTTTATTTTCATATTGAAACTGCAAGAGCAGCCAAAATAATTCATTTTGTGAGCAAATCAAAGTTGATGTGGCAAGTGTGAGAGGTTTTTTTTTTACTTTCCACAGAGAATTTATTTACTACTGGGTGCTGGCACCTTTTTAAGCGCTCTTGCTTGATGATTACCATTGCAAGGGTTCATATAACAGCAGTAGGTTTAACTTTCCTAGATTTTCCTTAACTTTGGCTAGCAGCAACAACAACAACAACAAACTTGACTTTGGCTAACCAGCCAAGGCTGCATTTTGATGACCTTGGGTCAAACTGAAATGCGCACGTTTGCAAAAATATCCAAACTCTGCTGCTGCATGATGAAAATCAACCCACCACTGTCCAAGGGTTATGGATTTCAATATTTCTCAATAGGATTCAAAACCCTCATGATTGTGAACCAAATTCATAATTTTTGAAGGATCTTGGCTTTCAAATTTTTTTTTTGCCAAGAAAACCTGGAATAATAAAGTAGGGACTTTTCTTGTGCTGGTTATTTCAATTGAGCATGAAGAGCATCTATACCAAGATACAGAAAGTAACAATTTGCTGAATTTCCCAGGTAAAGTTTGAAATAAGAGAAGCAATAAGGCAACTCATTACTGTACTGTATCAATATTGTTCCTCCCTCCCCCTTTTTTCAGATCACCAAAGATTCTGGCAGCCAAAACACATGCCGCCTGCTATAGTGTGAGGCCCGTCCCAGAAAACATGAAAAAAAAACTCATTACTGTACTGTATCAATATTGTTCCTCCCTCCCCCTTTTTTCAGATCACCAAAGATTCTGGCAGCCAAAACACATGCCGCCTGCTATAGTGTGAGGCCCGTCCCAGAAAACATGAAAAAAAAATTAATAAAACAAAACTCGACCTGGTGCTGAACCTATTTGTGTTTTATTTTCCTTCCCCATCACCCACAAAGATAAACTCTCAAGAGTTGGGTTTCCCACTTCTCCACCCCAACCTCAGATCTGGTCCAAGAGTCACCCACTTCCTTGTAAGTACCACGTGCAGTACTGAAACTTGAATTAAAGTCTCGTACTCTTGACAACGCTCAATCCGCATGCCAAGAAACGTGACATCTAATTTTGTTGTTGAGCAAGAAGGACTTTTTTTTCTGCCCTCTATTTAGCAAAAACAGTCAATTATGTTGAAAATTCTGATAGTTGTCACTGAAATGAAATCATGAAATTGGCATTTTCATTAAAAAAAATACCTAGCAGGGACAGATTTGCAATATTCAAGCACTTGAAGCATTCAATTGACAAGTCTTCAAGGAGATATTAAGTATTTCAAATGGATGGATTGTGAAAACATGATTTGTGGTTAAATTCAGTTCATTTTGAGATGTTTCCCTTTGCATTTTTATCAAGTTGTCTGTGCTGAATAATTTGAAAGAATCTATTTTTTTAAAGCTTGACAAAACAGCTTCATGAATTTATTTTCTGATTCTGAGAATTATTAAAGGTAAAAACTTGAAGTTTAAGTAGTTCAAACAATTTATTTTGGCATGATATACAGTATTAGTGAAAGGACTAATTTTAAATCACATATACTGTACTCTGTCAAGATTTTCCATCTTTATTAAGAGTTGAATCAAGAAGATAAACTTCCATGGATACAATTGAAAATATTCAAGGCATTTTTTCAAACAATTTGAATTTTTTAAACCCAAGTTTTATCCACCAAAGCACTTTGAAAGCATCNTTCCATCTTTATTAAGAGTTGAATCAAGAAGATAAACTTCCATGGATACAATTGAAAATATTCAAGGCATTTTTTCAAACAATTTGAATTTTTTAAACCCAAGTTTTATCCACCAAAGCACTTTGAAAGCATCAACATAAACCTTAGAGGCTGATGTCTTTCATTCCAAGAAAGAACAAAAAAACAGAATACACCGTTAATAAAATGCCCTTGTTTGAATATTTTATTTTTAGAATGAGGTAAAAAGGTGTATAGTTG